GACATTGAGTCTGATGTGCCATTCACTACAATCCTTTACTTCTTTTTCCCATGGTAAGAGGAATAGGAAGTGTAGGTGTGCCCTGAAAGTGAAGACTCAGTAACCACATCCAGTATTGCTAAGGAGTGTGATAACACTCTATTTACACTCTGGACTATAAGCCAGTACATGGCATTTGCCAACATGAAACACGCAATGAGGCAGAAGTATCTGGTCTTACCATTGCCAGATCAAGAAGTGGCAATGATAAGAAAAGGGAAGAACAGAGAAGGGGAAACAGGCCTGGGGAAATGAGGTGTTGGCAAGGGGCTGTGCTAGGGGCTTTGTTTGCACCATGGCAATATTATCAACCAATCAATCATACAATGACCTGGGCTGAAAAGGACCTCAAAGATTATCTAGTTTCAACCCCCATGCCGTGGGCAGGGTTGCCAACCATTTGACCAGGCTGCCCATTATACATTTCATAGGATGAATTTGGGATGGGCACAGACATGGTAAACACTATCAGAATAAACAACCACACTGGAATCAACCAACGGTCATCTCTGATCACATTCCTCACAGGGCTAAGGGAAGAGGTGGTGTTTTCATGATCAGAAGGAAAAATTCCTATAGCCATCAGATTTATTCTCACTTGAGACCCATTCTGAAAATAAAAAGAGGGAATCCAGAGAATGGCACCTTTGTTCTAACCAAAATAGAGCACAGCTTCTGTCTTTTCATTTTGGGTATTGACGGTGCTCAGTTGCTCATGAAACTGATGGAGAATGTATTGCGGCAAAAGTGTACTGTTGTAGAATAATTCACATTCAGTGGAAGAAGAAGTGTGCCAGGCAAATGTGTTGTTCACAAATGCATTTAATGTCTTTCCATTAAAAGAAGCAAAAGAGCTTAAAAGACAACAGGAATTTTTTTGCGAAGTGCCTGGCCACTGGTAAAAGCACTGCACTGGAGGTACCCAAGAACTTTGTAGATGTGGCACTGAGGGACGTGGATAGTGGGAATAGTGGGAATGGGCTGATGGTTGCACTATGTGATCTCAGTGGTCTCTTCCAACCTTAATGATTCTGTGATTCTATTACTTTCCCACAGTCAGTTGATGAATCTTTGTGCAGCCTGTAAGTAAAAACCATTCAGTAAAGATTATCATGCTGGACTCTTTACACCCAAATCCTGCATAACCAGATGATGGTTTTCACCCTCCAAATACTGTTAAGAAGAGCACATTCCATCCTGAGCATAGAATATCAGTTCCATCACTTCCTGACCGGGGCAAGGCTTGCTGGTGAAGGGAAGATCTCACTGTAAAGCTTCAACCTATTGCAGCTCTAGGCTGCAGTTCTGTAGGTCTGACAGAAATCTCCTGATCTTCTCTGTACAGGCAGAGAGAGAAGGAAGTTGGAAATGAGTTGGAATAGACAGATTCTTCATCCACTGAGGAAGCTGAAGAAAAAGCAGCTTTGAAAGTTGTGCCATTTGTGCAAGTTTTAGATGGTGTGGGCTTGAATTGAAAGAAAAGAAAACAAAAAAAACAACAAAAACCAACGACTAGGGTACCACTGGTCATGCCATGCCATGGGACGACCTTGGCAAGCCTCTGCCATTGCTCTGGCCAGTCTGGGGATTTACTTCCCCCCTGAGTAACCATTCAGTTGTGGTTCTGACCTGGAGTTTCATGTACTCCATCGCTATAGTTCCAGCTGTCCTCCTGGTTGCACTCCTTGCTGTCACTAATGGGACACGACTTCTGAAGAAAAAACCCAAGTTTCAGTGCTGTTACCATGTTTACAGCTTTAGCAAAAACTGTGGCACAGGAGTCCTTACTACGGCCTATGAATTGGATGTTTTTAGGGTGCAAGTGGACACGTGTGTATTTACACACCTTTTTCAAGACTTACAGACCCCTAGAATACATGAGAAGGCACAGATCTTTAGTCACTGTCTATGCCATGGATCATCAGCTTAGGTATTCACTATTCACAGTGAAATGTACTTCAAGTAAACTTACTCCATTCACACGAAATGCTCTTCAACAGCCAAAGGGTTTTGAAAACACAGTTTTCAAAACTGGAATGCAGAATGCAAAGAAACAGAAAGTGAATGGCACGCAAGAGACTGAGATACAAAGGCAGATTCACAAATCCAATTCCTCCAGTGTGTTTTTCTGGAAGATGTTAGGAGTACCGTGAGGAACCATTTGTTAAAGAGGGAACCAAAAGGATTTTGAAGGTGCTTTGCATAGCACAACTTTTGAAACCACAAATTGCAATGAATGTCTTCAGAAAACACTGCAATGATTGAAGGATTTTCCAAATGGAAGAAGAGTCTTTTAGATGAAGTGCTGATACCACTTTAAATGAATCCAACTGATTTTCTATGTGAGTGTGCAGATGCTGAAGGAAAAGAAATATTTGGGAATATGCTGCATTTTTAAATCTCCTTTCCTTGTTTTTAATTTCTAAATAGATTCCCTCTTATCTGTTCACTTGTAAGGACAACTAAATTCAAGTGCAACGTGTCACAAAATCAAATGCTACTTGACCAGGGCTCTGGGCAGAGGGACCACACTCTGTGTGGCAAGAAACTGGGGGAAAATAGCTCCAGTTCTGCCTTTCTTTTCCGGATAAACCCACAGACGTCATTTGGATGCTAATTGGAGTCATTGTAGAACCGTGTTAGATGCTCATCCAATATTGTGGCAGGTAACACAGTACCTGTGTTCTTCAAGAAAAGGATCAATGACACAAAGGTAGTTTTCTGCTGCAGGGAGAAAACAGACAATTAGAAAATCACTATTTGTATTTAATTTCTGTTTACACTGGTTGACCACATCTCTTGTAAAAGCAGATTTCTCTCTAGCTTCGGAAATACACAAATATAGCAGCACCAGAAAGTCTCCTCTCGTTTTTTACTTTGCAATTCAGGAATGCTTTATTAATCAACGCAAGATGCATTCATTGAACTGGATTAATCCTGCATAAGTAATTTTGAAATTTCCTGCTGAAGTTATTTTTCATTTCTGGGAACAAATCATTTATTTGGATTTTCATATATCAGGATCACAGAGATTTGCCACAGTCAGATTTTAATTTTAGTTACATACGAGCTGACTTATATATTAGGGCATATAGTTTTGCATGAGAGCATCTTCTAAAATCTGTAATTGGTGTGGAACACTGACATGCACAGAATACATCTGACAAGGTCCAGAGAGTTAGGTTTAGTTTTGCTGATCAACATCTATGCTGCAGATTAACTGAATCTTTTATGGCATTACAAACCCACCAGAATTCATTAGTGTACTTTTTCTTCCTGCTCTGACCTCCAGCACTGCTGTCACTCCATCCCTGCCTCGAACACGAGAGACTGAAGCTCTGATGTCTTCCTGCTGCTGCATTAATGACAGAAATGAGAATGTGTGCTGGGCATTACTACCTTGCCCTCCTCAGCAATCACCTCATTGTGATTTCTGCCTTTGTCTGTACCTGGAAAGCTCCATGTAAATAGGAAGCTGAAACATGGTCTGTTTCTTAAAAACAAAGCAACTATGGTACTTTACTGGTGAATGATTACAATATAAAGAAGTGCATATAAAGAAGTTTGGTATGGATTTTTCTCATAAACTGGCTCCCAAATGCAGTTAAGCTTACTAAATCACTGTATTAAAAGCAGCAAGGAGGACAAACATGACAGAAAACAATGGCAGCTTTAGGGAGAAGGGGGCACAGCACCTTTGAAGACAATGCTATCATCAGTGAAAAGCTATTTCTAAATCTCTGCCCTCCAGACTCGTGGCAGGCATACAAGTTGCATGTCAGCAGCTATCTGTCCATCTCACACTGGTTGGGTCACAGATGGGGTTCATGGCCGGGAGCAAAGAGATGTCTCCTTCACTGGTCTGTGGGTTATCTAGGCCCAGCTCCACAGAAATGCTTAGGCAAGAGTGTTGTCCTGAGGGGCAAGAGGAGATTCACGCTTGGCAAGAAGGGCGGCAGGGCAAGAGGAGAACAGAGGAGCAGGCTCAGTGTGGAACTCCTGGAGAAGATCACAGAATCACAGAATTGCCAGCGTTGGAAGGGACATGAAGGATTATGAATCTCCAACCCCCCTGCCACATGCAGGGCCACCAACCATCCCACCTAATGCTAGAAGATGCTCATCTATGAACCAGCAACGGAAAAGATGTTCCCTTTGGCCCAGCTGGGGCCAGAACCTGAGACACATCTGCTCTGTTTGTGCCTTACTGCCAGTGGGAGTTTTCCTCTATTGTCACAGAGTCCGGCTTTAGCTTGATGCTCATCTCAGCCCATGCACCACAGAAATGCAGGGCACTCATGCATTGTAAACCTGAGCACTGTAGCACCCAAGTATTTTCCTGACCTAACCTTTTGCCATCCAAATAATGCCTGCTTAGTGAGGTGAGAAGAGTCCCTGGGAGGAGCAGACAGCAGACAGAAAACAGGTGCAGATCCTCCTGTCATTTCATTCACTAATAGGGTGGGAGGTGATGGCCTTAAGTTGCACCAGGGTTGGATATTAGGAAAAATTTCTCCTCAGAAAGAGCCGGGAGGCAGTGGCACAGGCTGCCCAGGGAGGTGGTGCAGTCACCCTCCTTGGAGGTGTTCAAAAAACATGGAGGTGTGGCACTGAGGGACATGGTTAGTGGGCATGGTGGGGATGGGCTGATGGTTGGACATTTTAGAGGTCTTTTCCAATGATAATGATGCTAAGACTGTATGATTGTAACTCCTCCATTACACCCTCAGCCACGCTCCAGCATAGCTCTCACTTGCTCCAAACCAAAGGACCAGGTCTGCCTTGCATCTGCTCAGTGCTGAGGCCAAGCACTGCGCTCGGGGGAAGGTGCTGCTTCACTGTGTTGTCACTGTGCCATTTTCAAACACTGAGCAACGGCACTTGGAGACAACAAGGCTGTTACGTATGGCCACAAAATAAAGGAAGTTTACACATCTACATGATAAAAAAGTTCCAAAGAATTTAATGTAGTTATCATTTATACATACACTTTATAAGTAGGAATATGGCAGACAGTTGAATTAGTACATAAAGTTTTATTTAAAGTTTTCCCCCTACGAGCAAGCTTCATTTACACAGTCTAATACTGTACAAAATTTACATTCTTTTTGTGACTTATTCAGTTAGCACTTTCCTTGGTCATGCCTTCCTGAAAGATAGAAAGATTTACATAGAGACCTCTTAAATCTTTAAATTATCTTGGTAAAAAAAAAGAACCACTTAAAAGGACAACAAATGTCCTTTAAGATGGTACATTTCAGTAGAGACAAGTGACAGTCAGTGTTTAGTGGCAGACCTTATCATGATCTTAAATGTTGTTCTAAGTTTCCTCGTTTAGTATCTTGACAGTTTCCTTTTAATATATATTTATATTTATATAACTTTCAACAGGAAAAAAAAAGTCATGATTGCACCAAATATATTTTACAAGGGATCCCTTGGATCTGAACAATATAAATAAATACAAAACCAACTAAGATTGCACTATATAGTAGAAATGGATTTGAGATTTCAGGATATACACTCCACCTTTACGAGTTCCTTAGTGATGCTCACTGGAAAATTCCTCAACGACACATTCAAATATTAGCATCTTCAGATAATTATTTTGTTTAAACATTTTCTTTTTCCAGGCATGCAGCTACTTCATCAATTGGTTTATTGCATTTGTATGCTTATCAGTCTTCACTGCATTACTCCAATTTTACATCTGCGTAATTCTGCAGGAGTTGTACTGCAATAAAACTGGACTGATGCCAGAAAGAAACAGTCCCGCAGTATTTGCTCTCCATTATTTATATTGCTCTCAAGCTTCAATATATGGTGTAATTTCTGAATACATTCGTCCTCTTTCTATTTTGCAAAGCAAATAATGAGTTCCTCCTCACGTCTATTGCCTCTGCAGTAGAAGCCAACCTCCAGCAGTCATCTGCTCCTTGCTTAATGCATTAGCATTACAACCTATCATGAAAGATATGCACAAGCTTGAAAATGCGGGATGTGAGATTGCTTTGCCTCTTACTTGGTGCAGCCAGTTAAAACTAAGCAATTTAAAGGCCAGATTCTTATCTGACACGAGCCAGAAGCACATCAAAGCACACTGGCTTCAATGGAGCAATATCACTTTATATCAGTGAGGAAGATGGTTTGAGAGTAATGGATGTAGCATCCGTAAACCACAATAGAAGAATTCTGCATATATTTTGCTGAGATGTAGATGATTATGTTAAATACCAGACTTCAGATTTTGTCACTGCTTCTGCAATGGCAGGACAGAAAGACATAAGCTTAAAACATGGATAGTCTGATTTGTACAAGCAACTAAGAGTTCATAAAGCGAGTCTGAAATAAAGCACTCTGAACTTGCTTTGCACTGTGTAAATAATTACACGAGCTACGAGGCAGTGGAAAGTCCAGCCTCATGTTACTTTGGATCAATAATACAAATCTTTCTGGCTACATTTCAGACCAGTCACATGGGAGTATTTTAACTACTCAGCGGTCCCCCTCTAAAATTGTGTGCAATCATTTAATAGTCCAAAGTAATACATTTACAGTTAAATGCAGTCTTGTTGTCTTTGGAAGCAACTAGCACATATGCTCATAACGGGTGGGTGAGAAAAAGTAAGGAAGGGTTCTGGTGCTCCATTACTTGGTTATAGAAATAACTTACTGTATGAACCCAGAATTTAAGGTGTAGGACCGAATTTCTGCTATTCTACTAACATGAAAGTAGTCATTCCATGTGATTTCAGCGAAACGACTCTGACTTTACACAAGTGTGACAAGGAGAATTTGACCCCAATTCCCAAACTGGCTACTGAAGGAAGTGCTCTGTAAAGCATGGGTTTCAGTGTAGTCTTGGTTTCCACTACACTTACACGTGGGGACTTTGAAGGCAGAGTGTATCTGATGACAAGCTGTGCAAAAACTGAATGACACTTCTTTACCTTCTATAATCTTCGATCCTGTGTTGCTTGCAGAGCATGTGTAGTAGCTGTAGGTTAGGATTACAGGAGGAGACAATTCTGCAATGCAGAGTGAGCTTTTCACTATCTGAATTTTGAAGCATTCATGAAAACAACATCCTCATGACTTCAACACAGATCACATGCAGGTAGATACAATGCACAATACTGATCTTGTCTCTTCAGGCTGTGTCTGAACATTTAGCCTTCATACTTTTAAAGTTAGATTTGACGTGAGGAATCTTTCTGCAGCAGGAAAAAGTTAAAATCAGTCTGAAATGGCAGTCTGTCAGCATGTACTGTTCGGTGTGTTTTAGCTACTTGCTTCATAAGACACTGGCTTCTATCTGAGATGGGACAACACTTTCTTTTTGTTCTCTTTTAGTTTGCTCCTAAAGCGTAAGTATGGAATAAAGGGTCAATTACAGTAGATTTGTTTAACAGGAATCCTGTTCTAAGAAAATATTTACGTCACCCGTCATTATTTTCCCAAATGCAATCAGTGTCCGTGTCAGTGCTCCTCCACTATCACTTGTTGTATGGTACACAGGCTGGCAATATGACAGTTGAACAAGCAGGACCTGCAAGTGGCTCAGCAACATCTCCTTCTAGCTCTGTCCAAGTCCCCTTCTCAGGGCTATAGCAAATAGTAGAAGATTTGTAGGCCCCCTGTAACAGAACCAAAAGTTGTATTGAAAGTGTCTTAGGTGAAGTCCAAGTTACCCGTGAGCATTAAAGATGAAAAGCTACTTCTTTTTTCCAAAGTGACTCAGTTTTGGGCCTTAACTTAAGAACCCTTAGGAAGGTTTGGTTTTCCTATGGGCAGAGCATCCAGCTTCTGAAAACCAGGCTCCTTTACAAAGCTCCTTATAAGCAGAGCTAGAGACATACAATCCCTACCAAATTACATCTTATTTTTACATTACTACTTATTAGTGAGTACAATCTGATAATAACTCATTGAAATAGAAAAGCACATAGGTAAAAAAGCACTATATGTTCTCCACAAGTTGAAAACCAAACCAAAACTTGTCTCTGCAGCTACTTTCATAGAATTACAGAATGTCTTGGGCTGGAAGGTACCTAAAAGATCATATACTTCCAACCCCCTTCTGCAGGTAGGGTTGCCAACACTCGTCAGGAACTAGACCAGGCTGCCCAGGGCTCCATCCAACCTTCCCTTCAACACCACCAAGGATGGGGAATCCACAACTCCTCTAGGCAGCCTGTTCTTCATCCCTTTCTTCTTCTATTTCCCCTCTGCCAAATATACACTCTGGGTGCAAGAGCTCAGCAGGAATGAAAGGATCACCACAGAAAGCAAGTACACACCATGCTCCAGCTGTATCCTCCTACAAGGTAAATACTGTCATCAAGGACTGCACAGCCAGGACCGCTGCGGCCCTCCAGAATAGGAGTCTGGAGGATATTCCACTGGTCACCTTTAGGGTCATAGCATTCCACAAGCATTACGTCGAGGTGGGAGAAACCTGGGTAGCAGCATTGAGAAAGAAGAACATGAATTATGGCATACTATTTTAGATATATATTTTTTTACTGTTAAATGTATTAACTTATGGTTGCAATTGCATTATTACAACATCACTATTAAATTTTCTTCTAGAAAATATTACCATATACACCTAAGCCATCTTCTATAATGATAATATCCCATTACTTCAGTTCAAATGAAAAAGCTCTGTTAAAAGCTTTTACCATTAGTTCCACAGTCTTCTACAGATCACAAGTACACTCAATAAAAATGAACAAAGCAAATTCAAGCAATATTTCTCCTCATTTATCAGTGCTAACGCATGTTTGAGCATGTACGAAAAGGCTATCCTGGCAGTCTTTCCCAAAGGTCAGCAGATCTAAACTATTAAAAAATCAACACGTTAAGTTTTGCTCGGGAATCAGTGTCTCCCAAGTGAAGGTGGAGCTTAGACAGTTGATGCCACTTGGTCCCAGAGGGACATAGTGTTCAGGATCAGTTGCAAGTTGTTTTATGGTGCACCCTAAGCATGTATCTGTGATGTGACAACATCTTCAAGGCAACAGAAATGTCTCCAAAAGAACTGTGGTGCCACTCTTCCATGTCTGAGAGAGAAAATGGCTCCAAGCAACAGCTGCTTTGTAATCACCAAAGGGCAGATACATCTGAAGACTCTCAAGCTGTGATGCTTAGTAACAACTAAGTGAGCTGAATGCGGACATAGAACCTAAGTGTCCTGGTTCCTGCTGTAGTATTTAGATATTTCCCTAGCTAGAACCACCTTTTTTAATTTTTTTTTTATCAGAGCATTGCAAGAAGATTATGGTCTTTTTAACTTGTTAGGATGCTTTACTTGACATTGCCATGTTCTCCATCAAGGCAAAGTAGAAAAGAGAAGTCTGATTTTCTGGAAAAGGGCATCTGGTGTTATTTGTATTTAAAATGAAGTTTCTTGTAGGAGGGAACGAATAGCTGTAATGAAATGATTTTTCTGTCAATGTTTTCAAGGAACCATAGAAAGGCCACTGCTGTGTGCCAGAATCTGTCAAAGAGCTCTGTAATAAACTGCAGCATACGCATGTCTAGCTGTGTTGCAGCAAATGCACTGCTGACAGAGGCATACCAATCCAGCCTTACAAAGAAGTGCTTGGCCACGGAGCTATCAGAGCCCTGCAGTTCTGACCCAGTGGAGAAATTACTACATTTCATCTGCACTTTAGCCCCCTTCCTCCTCTTTGCTTCACTTTACAGAAGAAGATATGTTCCCAAACAAACCTTCTTCCAGAGACCAACTTTTCCAGAAGCCTAGATGTTAACTGCCTCTCACAACAAACAGCAAGCAATTCAAAGGGCAGCAATGCAGGGCAGCAGCTAAAGAGGCAAAAATGCAATGCTTGTTTTCCTAGAGGTGAAACTGGGTGAAGAAAGAAAGGAGATGGAAACAATTCAAGCTTGTGCAAACCAAGGCGAATGTTATACCTATCAGAGGACTGGGATGTGTTAAATAGGTTAATTGAGCAGGAAACAAAGCCAACACTGTGAAGGTCTGCAACCTCTACAAATTTTGCAGATGCTGACAGATTTTACCCGTTACTTTCTGAAATTCAGCCCAGCAAAGACCCATTATAACTGAGTGTGGGGAACAGAGGCACATCAGCCCAGCTGCAAGGGATTGTACCCCAGTACTCTTAACTGAAAATATGCAGACTTTGTCCCCTGTGTGGATGTTCACATCTTGAAAAGCAGCATGAGATGTCACAGTCTCATTGGGACTTGGGTGCCAGAGTCATTCAGGCACATGGCATGGTATCACTGTCAGTTAACATCACCATTCCTACTATTCCTTTTGCATTACAATTTTCTCTTTTGCTGTTGTGTTTTTTTTTGCTAGTTGTTTCTTTTCCTTAAGTAAGAAAGCAAAAGGAAAAAAGAAAAGTGATTATGCTCTGTCAAATATTTTCAGAGAACAAGGAACAGGAGCTGTGTTTTTTGTCTGAGTGGTTGGATTAAACAGAATAACAGAATCTCTTTACTTCAACAGTAATAGTTACAGCATGTGAGTATTAAGACAAAAGTACCAGGTGCCCATGCAGTAGTTAGCTTAACATGAGATCTTTTCAGAAGGTGAAAACAAGAGATCTCTAAAAAGAATCACAATTAACAAGCTATATTTAATACTAAAAAGGGATCTAAAGAGATTAGTCCTAATATTTAATGGCTGGGTTTTTTTTTTCTCTCATTAAATCAGGAGCTTGTTTTTGTATGTTGCTCTGAATAAAGCTCTCTCTAACTGCATAGTTTGGAAAATGATTTACAGAGGAAAATATTGCTGGTACTTTCGGGTCAAAGAATAATCTGTTTGTTTCATTGAATTCTTGGTAATGACAAATTGTCCATGCCTTTGAGTAATGGAAGCTCCCATTTTTATTATCTAAAGCATTCATTACTCATATATTTAATGTACTGTTATAATTTTAAAATAATTTGCATAAAATGTTTTTAAAATTGCTGGCTCAAGCGTCCTGTTAAATTGTGTTGCCTGTATTTTAATGTATTTAACAATGACTGTCTAACTATCAGGAGATGGGTGACACTGAAATGCTTTTTCACTGTTAGAAGTGTGACCTTTCAAATGGTTTCCTCCAATGGCGTAAAGTCGGTCATTCATTACAGCCAAAGTGTGGATCGCCCGTTTTGTGTTCATGTCCTGTTTTCGGGCCCAGACGTCCATCACAGGGTCATAGCAGTACAGCCAGGGGACATATTCTCCATTGTGAACACCTCCTGCAAAATAAATGCACCTCTGTTAATTATTGTAAATAAAGATGCTGTTCTGCAGCAGGAATTTAGCTCTGGGTTTGTTTGTTTGTTTTTTTATATCTTCTTATGTATATATGTGTATATATGTATGTACACAGAATCACAGAATCACAGAATTGTAGGGGTTGGAAGGGACCTCCAGAGATCATCGAGTCCAACCCCCCTGCCAAAGCAGGTTCCCTACACCATATATATGTGTATATGTATATGTATGTATCTCAACTTATATATATATACATAAATAAAATATTTCTGTAGTGGGAATTGGAAAAGATACTGGCCTGAAATATATATCTTGCCATTGTGAACGGCTCCTGCGTGGGCTGCCAAAGGTTGTGGTAAGGAAGACACATAACGCCACTCATTTGTCTCCAGGTTGTAGCACTCCACGCTGGACAAATAGCCAGTTTCATTTCTTCCGCCGATTACATATAAGTTCTTGTCCAGGCGGCAGGCATAGAAGCTGGCTCTCCTGGAGGACAGGGCAAAATAAAACAACACGAGCCAACAACCAATGAGCCACTCCCATCAGTTTTTAAAATCCAGCTGACACCCTCAACTAACATAGCTGCTATTCCAAATGATACTTTCCGAAGTACCCAGAAGATTCTCATGCTCGCATTTATCCTAAAGACTTTGTCTGCTTTGCTAATCAAATCCACGTTCTACACCAAATGAATACCTTACACCTCATTTTTGGTGTCAAAACAATTAAGTACACGTAAGTCTGACAGAAAATACTTTTTTTTTTTCAAACCTGTTTGTTGCTTTTTCACACCCGTGAAAGATAAAAAGGTGCTCATTAATGTTTGGGGCATTACCTTGTAAGGGATATAACAACTCAGTAAGATACAGTGAAAAATGAGGTAGATAATGTAACAATAATAAATTATCTTGACATTCACTTTCTTTATGGTCCTTCAAGGGTCATTGTTCCCAATTTACTAAGAGAACCACATCATCAAAATTTTTCTTCAATTATCATTTTTTTCTTCTTTCTGCAGTACTGCAAATAGAACAACTTTCCTTAAGCTGGGCGCAGTGTTACATTTCTACCCTTTAACTCAAAAAAGGTCCAGCTCCATCCAGCTAACTCTGAGAAAAGTTTTAGCCACCTGTTCGGTTTCACATGCAACTCAGGTATGCAGGGAAATCATTAGTTTTTTCTGGTTAGGACTAGTAGAAATATATTAGCTTGTCTTTCTTGTAACTCTAAAGTTAATGGTGTCTGTTACTGAAGTAGAAATAGAGCAGAAGATGATTTTGAGAGACCCTACTTGGTGTAAGCAACAGTCAGGGAATGCTCCCCTGATTACTCAGTGGTAGGAAGTTTTGCCAGGGTAGAGGTCTCTAATTCTAAGTTACAGTGATATGAGAAAAAATGGCAAAAAAAAGCATATCACAAAAACTAGATTTGAATCATAGAAGCATTAAGGTTGGAAACAATCCTTAAAATCACCAAATCCAACCATAACCTAATATTACCAAGTCCACCTCTAAACCACATTACTTAGCACTCCATCTACCTATTTCTTAAACACCTCCTATTTCTTAAACACTATTTCTTAAACACCTCCAGGGATGGAGACTCCATCACTTCCCTGGTCAACCTATTCCAACCACCCTTTCCATGAAGAAATTCTTCCTGATATGCAATGTAACGACCACTCTTGTAGTGCAACTTGAGGATGTTTCCTTGCTATCACTTGTCACCTGAGAAAAGAGATGGACATCCTCCCTGCTGCAGCCTCATTTCACATAGCTGTGGGAGTAATCAGGTCTCACTTCAGCCTCCTCTTCTCCAGACTAAACAAACCCAACTCCCCAGCCCCTCCTCGTAATTCTTGTTTTCTTGTCCTTTCAGCAGCTTTGTTCTTCTCTGCACACACTCAAGCAACTCTGCATCCTTCTTGTAGTGAGGAGCCCCAAACTGAACACAGAATTTGAGCAAAATTGTTGGTTCCAAACCTGAAATTATTTCCTGGACTAAACAAGTCACAGAGTCATAGAATGGCTTGGGTTGGAAGGGACCTTAAAGCACAGCCAGTTCCAACTTTGCCATAGGCGGACACATCCCACCAGCTTAGGCCAACCCGGGGCCCCATTCAACCTGACCTTGAGCACCACCAGAGATGGAGAACCCACAGCTTCTCTAGGCAGCTTGTGTCAGTGCCTCATCACCTTTGCACTGTGTGTGAGCCCAGAGCCTTGCAGGCAGGCCAAACATTGCTGGGTCTGACTGCTGGGTCACAAGCAGTAGCTCTGTAGCTAACATGGTGCTCTCTGGCTTCTGAGCACCTCAGGAGTATGTCTAGAGAAAGGAAGGATGCAAATAGGAGGAAATGAATGCCACTAAGTGCCTCCAACTACACTGACGAATTAAATAAGACCATTTAATTTATCTGTCAATGGGTAGATAGAAGCTGATGGCATGTATTGCTCTGCATGGTCGGGCAGCAAATTGTGCATCTATGTTTTTAGCCTGATTTTCTATGGAAACAAAGCTTATTTGATTACACTGTACGTGTATCCATGTCTGTCTGAATGTTGTCTCCTCACCAAAAACCTGCTGGCTGATTTCACTCTAATTTGACAGCGGGTAAAAGCATTAGAGGAAACCAAGTGCCTATATGCTTCCTGAGAGCATATGACAGGCAAGACAGCCCGCATTCCCCCCCTGGGAGCAGGAAAAGCTGCAGAGGTCACATCCAGTTAGACATCCTACACAGGCAAGCATGTGCTGAGAAATGCTCAGCCAGAGCTCACATCTCCTCTGGCCCTGCTGTAGTTGGCAAAAACCTGCAGCGCTACCAGCATCCATACTGGAGATGCTCTTGTGCCCATCTCTCTGTCCTTAGCCACCTCCTTTGACAAACCATGCACAAACTGCTCTCACAGTTCTTGACATATTTTAGTCAGATTTTCAGTAACAAACCCAATAAAATGTGCAACAGAATGAATTTTCAAAACCAAATTCTACTGCAATTAGTAGGCATATACCATTATGTATGAATAGCAGGTTCTCTCTCTTTTTTTTTTTTTTTTTTAGTTCAAATTCAACAAAGAGGTAGGTATTACTGGTAGGCACTACTGTTTTAACTGAGATTTTGTGAACATCACTCTGTAGGTGTACTCCTGGTTTCATCCACACAGTGTCACTATAAGGAGCAAAAATGAGAGCGTCAGCATGCTTCAGTCTTCTGCTTGGAGGTGAATATTTATTTACCCAGTAGCTCCTGCCACTAATACGTTAAGGTTTTTGGTTATTAACTTCTCAGTGATAGAGCACACAAGGGATGTGCTGTTAAGGGAAGGCTTTTAAAATTGCTGTAAATTCAGATTAAAACATAATGCAGCAGTCTTCACAAGACAACTTTTCCTACAAAACTGGGAAAAGACTACCCACTCTAATTAAATAGCTGGAATGCACCTTAGGATGTGAATATGGACAATAAGACAATTATTTGGGGATTTTCTTCGGAGCTTGCAACTGTCTGACATTTTCTGGTCTCTGAAACGCTTTTCCTTCCTTCCCTTTCCCTCAATAAGCAACCTAACTAAATTTTCTCATAATGCACAAAAAGGGAAACATTTCTAACACTTCCTTCTAGTTTCTACCAAAAATGAATCCATGCTCTGGAACACAAAATACCGGTCAGAAGTGTAAAACTGAGTGATCACAACAGAATCTGGATCTTATTACATGGTCACTGTTAGAGTGTTTGGTTTGCTTTTAAGAAGCAAAAGCCATTTTAACAAAGGTAAATGCTATTATTAAAGTCAGATGCTAAAATAAAACAAAATTATTTTTTGTCTTTTTTTTGTTTGTTTGTTTGGGTTCTTTTTGCAACTTCTTTTATCATTCCACTCAGCTTAATTGGAGAAGGCAGCCTGGATCAGATCCACTTGTGCTTGCTTCTCCATGCCCTGGCAGAATACAGTCTTTTATATTTAAATAAAATCTCCTAATTGGAATGTAAGTAAAACAGAAAGTCATAAATGTTCTGCACCCCTTATCCTGCCCTGGGCTGATTTGGTAGGTTGGAACAGCACTGGACAGAGGTGTTCATTTGCAACTCACTCTGCAAGTTCAGAGATCAGTTCTCCATTAAACTTGTTAGTGTAACTGGACTGCTCTCCAAACGGTATCCCACTCTCATTGCATGGTTGGGCCAACCAGTATTTCAATTACTGATGAGTCCTTTGCTTTTCTCAGCAACGCACACCTGAAAACACTGCACACTTTTCAAAGGCAACTATTTTTGAGATATGCTACGAACGAAAAGAAGCCAAACTTGGCGTTAAAGCAAAACACGCTGATGGCTGTGAATCCATACAGGGATTAGATTTTTCTTTATAGTTCAAACAGTAAAATCAATCAGATATGGATTTTAGTATATGAGATAAAAGTTTACTCATCAAATATTTCATACAGATTTTCAACTTGAGAATATACTGCCTGTGAATGAGACCCACATTTACCTGGCAGTCATTTCAAAGGAGCTATTACAGTCTATCCAGCCAATTATTCTCAGACTAAAATTCCTAAGTGGGTTTTGACTTGATGGACCATAATGACTCAGAAGAACCCATTAAACAGTCTGTCTTGTCAACGGTGCCTGCATTATAACAGCAGATACAGGGCGTGACCCTGTACTTCTAGAGGGAGAAAAGTAGACTATTGACTTTAATGAGAACTTTATCTGACTAAGGAGCTGGGAAAGAGACTGCATAAAAGATCCCTGTAGTCTGTATGACCTAAAAACTGCCTGGGCCAGGCCCCACTTCTAAAGGCTGCAACAATTCCGAGAAAGTCATTAGGGATAAGCAAATTAACTTTTAAAAACATTTCAGACACTTGAAAATCACTGTTTTCCAATAACAGCCCCTATACCAAGGAGCCTTTATAGAAAAATAATGGACAAGGCTACAAGCTACATGCTACGTATCCTGAATAGATGACATATTAGAGTCCCTAGCTGAAAGGAACTATGTATGAGTAGACTGCTACATTTAATTAAAACTGTAATGTGCTAAGCTCCATCCCTGGAAGTGTTCAGGGACAGGCTGGATGTGGCTCTGGGCAGCCTGATGCAGTGAGAGGTGTTCCTGGCTCCGGCAGAGGGGCTGGAACTGGATGGTCTTTAAGGTCCCTCCCAACCTAAACCATTACAGGATTTATGACTCTAAGACACTAACATGTTGCAGTTTATTGCTGGGCAGCTGCTAAGCAATCATAAAGCTCAGCAGCCTTTCTAACTCTTGGATGAAGGTGGCAGCACCCTGCAGAATATGAGGCAAGTTGTATTCAGCACCTAGAATTACCAACTGTATTTACCAGCACCACACAACTGCCCACTGTGGAGGTGAAAGAACTCCTCTCTTTGCTCTCCAACCTTCAATCACCTACCTGCTTTTTGAGCTTTGTCAGACAAACAAACCCAACCCTTCAGCCAGCCACATGAGCCCCTCGGGAGTTTGTCTGCAAACACTCAGAGAGCCAGACACCCGAACTCTGTGGACAACTGAGACACAAAAAAAATGGTAATACTGATGGCACAGGGAATAGAGAGAGCGTCCCAGAAGAGTGGTGTGAGATATCTTATACAGTGGTTCTATGAAAAGACGGGTTTTCATCTGAAAGATGGATCGTCTTTGGAATAGTTTTTCATAAAAACATTATTACTTTGGATCTTCTGCCTTTGATACGCTTCCTATGAAACACACATCATTCAGATCAGGTTTAGGGGACTTTTTTCCCGTTAGGTTGGGATTTGGGATCCAGAGTTAAATCTATGCCATCTTTACACGCCCTTGCTCAAGTCCACATGCAGCTCTGCTCTTTGGTGCACAGCAGGATTAAAATGTATGCTACTCTAATATGCATTGGCTGACAGCAACTTCATTCAAAGACCACCCAGGATTCTGAGTCTTCTGACAAGGTAAGTCATGTTGAGGAGAGATCTCCATGGCTGGTGTGGTGAGACGGGATGGGGTCAACATATGAAGGTTTCAGCTCTCTGTACGATATCTGTCTATAATTACTGCTTGTTTACTGCAAACTCATCATAACACTTCAGTCAGGTAACATGACAGGATACTACAGAGACTTCAGAAAAACCCTTCAGACTGCACTCGGACAACCAGTAATTGCACAAAGTCCATGGTTATTTTGCACGAGTTAGCACTGCAGGGTTTGGCATGTGGAGTTTTGAATCTGGAATGTTTAAAAAAATTAGGAGACAAATGGGAAGCAACTGCACGCTGCAGTTTTATCTCAGAATTTGCAAAGTAGGCATCCTTACTCCCCATACTAAAACAAACTTCTGCTGTTCTTAGGATGATGAAACATATATTGAAAAACATGTAGGTTTTTACCTCTCTTGCATGGGTGGAAGTTGTATCCAGCTGTTAAACCTGGGATCATATCGGCTAACAAAGTTTGTGCTGTGCTTCCCTGTGAAGATAGATTATTTTGACACTCAGCTGTTTGTTTCATGTATTTAACATCATGATTGTATTATAAATTACATATATTTCACAAGTTGCCAGCTTTTATGAAGGGTTACCCCGTTTACAACAATGTATGATTACACGATGTGTACAGTAATAATTCAACAAATGGGGCACTACAAGGTTTGAATTAGCAATTGTTAGCTGTAAAAGTGGATAGAGATTATTCTTGCTCTCTGTAATAAGATCTTGAAAACGTGTATTTAAATTTACTTATAGATGCTGTGGTACTTTCACAGCCACAGTAAATCACAGCACTAAACAAAATTACTGCCCAAAAGAGAATATCCCTATAGTATTTTATGGTTAGAGTGTTTTGTGTCAGGTAAAATATCATAGGGAGAACATGTGCATTTCTTTCTCTTCACCTCTATCTGGAACACAGTAAAAAACAATGAGCAAATAACTAGAAGTCACATAAGCCATCAGCATGGGGTATGCACTATTTGCACTAGATGGCTTATTCTATCATGTACTTTCAATGTAAGTTAGGAGGAGTTACACATGTGCATCGAAGGGGGAATATACTCTTAGAGTCTTACTCCAGATGTGTTAGCTAAAATGTGAAACATGAGCAACATACGCCGGCTAACTAGCTTATCCTTGCTGTCAAACCCAAGAACTGTATGCATGTCTTCACGATACTAAGATTTCATTTTATTTTACATGCAGATTGACATCACAGCGAGAAAACTGAAGCAAGAGAGTGTATGGCAATTTCTTGTAACACCTGAGACTTCAACAGATGAGGACCTTTGAAAAAGAAACCTTTGTTTATGTAAGTGTGACTAAAAAATTGAATTAGAGGCTTCAAAGGACAGCAGAATAACCCAACTGCATATGTCACAGTTCTATAAATGGTCACTGGGTATTCTACAAGGTGAATATTTTTGCATCTGAAAAGCCTCTGTAGGACTGGTTCACTTTACTTGCTGCATTCTGCGCTTAGTTCAGTATGTGCAAATAGACCATCAAGGGACTGTTGAGAAGAAAAATTATACAGCAAGAATCTGTATTCATAATCATTTAAGATCATGTTCTACAAGATTACAGAGAAAGAAAGCACTGACCACTCTATTTGGAAGTGAACTCATTCTCTTGCCATGTATAATCATGTTCCAAATCCAGCATGGTGAGACCAGCTAGGTCTCACTGTTTAGGACATGCATTCACCTATTTCTACTACAAAAGTGGGATTACAATACAAGGTAAGTACTGATCACAAGTTTCAAGTCCTGTGGGGAGGTTTCTGCTCTACTTACTACATCTTTCAGAGTTACTTGGGACTTCAGAAGTCATTGGCTATATGGCAGCTTTTTCACTCGTGTCTTACAAAGTTCTGATCTGGGGACTTGGCCTCTTAATATAGTGTGTTATGCACATATTTGGTATAAATACCACATATGTAGAAGATTGTGCAGCATGGCATAGAATGAGATTTTATTGGGAATAGAGTGGGATACAGGATACAGATCTGGTCACTTCATAGGGAAGAAGATGAAATCAAACTGGAAGGGGCACAAAGAAGAGACATAAGGATGACAAGAAGAACAAGATGTTTATCTCATGGCAGGAGATAAACTCCAGCAGAACTTGGCTTGTTGTACTCAGCAAAACAAAAGCTGAAAGGGAAGAGGAATGCTGCCTGTAATACATCAGAGGAACAAATCTCCAGGAGGGGAAAAGCTATTAAGCTAAAGGCCAACTCTGGCACGAGAACAAGGTGATTTAGACAGTCAAAGAATACATTTTACTGGAAATTAGAATAAGGCTCCTAGTCATTGAGAGCAATTGGATTCTGTAACAGCTTTCCAACAGGAGTAGAGCAAGCTAAAAATCCAACTGCTTTTCAAATGGAGCTTAGAAAATTTACAAAATGGGACTATATGATGCCTGTGATGGCAGGAAAAGGATTCAATGACCTCCTTAAGCTGCCTGGTATAAATGGTTTCATTCCAATTTAATTTTGGAATTCAGTTTGAAAGACAACTGTATCTATTATTTTTGTCTTGCTCATCAGTCAATAGGGTGGCACATGCCATGAAGCACTTGTCAGAATGCAGAAACTGTGAGAAGTAAACAGAAATCAGGACTAGTAAATTGGGATAATGAGAGAAAAGGAGGCAGATGCTGCTCTGCTCTGTACAGCAAGGTTTCTGCACCCATGCCAAAAGGTGAAGGGCTCTGAAGGTTACGAATGTTTGTCCTAAATCCATGTCATTGCTCTGCAACCTGCTCTCATCAACGTTTACTCATGCAAGGATCCCTTGTGATTGGAAAGGTGATGCCATAGGAGGATGCAAAAAATGAGAAGAAATACCACCACGCTCCCTAGGTTGTCAGGAAGTCAAAGGAGCAGCACAGAATGTTCATGGTCACTCCTTGGGGTACATCTTGCTACCCAAGAATTGGCATAATGCCTAAAGATATGCATAATGCTCCTTCCATTGCCACTATTCACTGAAACAACACTTGGCACCTTTCCATTTGTATTGCAATCCTTGAAATGCACTGGCAGGAAAGCTCAAGTTAGGTTCATTTGAAGCCCCTTCTGTTCTATGAGGACAGCAGGCAAAGGTCTTTAAACAAAAGTGAGTATGTGTGTGCAGTTCCCATGTAGCTGCATACTTGGAGCAAATCAATTTCAAAAAAGAACTAGTCCAGAAATATCTCCGAATGTAGTTTATGATTTTTGAGACAAATAGGATCCATTTCACTTGGGGTAAGTTTGTAAAGAGATCATTATCAATAACGTTCCCACTTCCTTCACTGTAACTTCACTACGGACAAATCAGAGCTCTCTGATTCTCACAGATCAAGGAATCTGTTGGATGTCTGCTGCACATGTCTTTAGCTCAGGAAGTGATCTAAGCAGCCTTAGAATTACAGTGCTATGCGTGTTACAAACCATGTGTTCAAGTCCTATCTCAGTCACAGGGCATGCACCCCTTCTTACAACTCTCTATTAGCTTGTGACTCAGTTTCCAGACCTTTAAATTGTGTATAATTATTCTTCTTTTCTTTCGTCCTTCATATGACATGGCTATTTAATTAGAAACTGCCTGGTACAAGGTCTGCCTTATGTTATCTGCTTACCACCAACCACAACAGGGGCCCTCAGTTGTTGGCTGTGGCTGGTACTCCTAATAACAATTACCATTAATTATGCCCCTGTACTTCCTGCGTAATATAGCATAACATAAAGGAGATGTGAAGAACTGAAGGGCTCTTCTCCCAAAACATTCAGTGATATTTTAAGTACACCGGAAATATGTTTCTAGGGTGGACTGGATTGTTTGTCTCAGGTTTTAGGAAGTGAACAGATGTAACAATTTTCTATAATTTGGTTTAGTGCAGATGCTGAAATGGGGCATTCACAATAAAATATATGCAGTATATGTAATTTCAGCTGGATCCTCTGGTGTTTTAAAGTAAAAATGTGTACCTGCAAGCTGTTTTATGGTTTCTCAGTCATAATTATCTCTGTTACACAGGCTGCTACAACTACAGCTCTTTCTTCATGTGCAAGCTTTTTAACAATGTCTTGACTATTTTGTGAATTTTGCAAGGCATGGTACTCTCCTTTTGCTTTGCTCAGAAGCCTGTTAAATTGTTTAATTTCTCTTTGCAGTAAATTTATGAAGTAATCAAATCAAAGAAGGTAGCAGCAGATAATCTATATGAGAAGCTCTTGTGCAAGACTAAAAAAGGGACCAGTTTAAGAATCTCTGTCTAGATAATTAACACATTAACAACTTTAGCTGCAAGTATCTGGTTTGACAATAGAAAGGAAGCATTCATCTACTGCAATTGCATTATTATATTATGACTGGAAGGAGACTGGAAATGAAGGTTAAAATTCTTAACAGCTGCTGCCTGGTGCATGCACTTGAAAGAGTCTGTTCTGCTGCCTGTGGCATTTCTCGAGGGACGTGGGAACTGATGAATGACAGAGATGCTAATACTGAAGTACCAGATATTTATGACATCGATATCTGAAAGTAGCCTTTGGTAGCTCAACAATTTGGCTACAGGACCTCAAAATAACTTACTAATGACCGCATCAGCTGACCTGACAGACAGACAGACACAGGAAGGCAGATGCTGTCTGTGTCTTTTAATACCATGTACATACCATTAGGGTTCCATTGGTCTTCTCCTCCGAGTACAAACAAGAAGTTTTCCACTTCCACGACACAATGATGTGCACTGTTATATGGCATAACTGTAAGCAAAGAGAGAGTTCTTTATCAGCTCAGGGCATGGATTCCATAAAAACTTCCAAAGGTAGAAAATACAACACCATGATGGAATTTGTACAAAACAATAGAAGGCATCCACCCCAAGCATGTATGTCTGATGGATTAACAGCAGAAACAGATGCTTACTAGTAATTTCACATTATTTGATCTTGTAGATAATTGAATAAAGCAGGAATGCTGGCCCCTTGGTTCTCCCCACCTCACTCCCCCTCGCCCACATATATATGCTGCTCTAAAATGAATCTGTTAAAATGAGTGAAGTTGTCTGATATTTTCCTGGAATAAGCAGATGCTAGGGATCCTGGTATGCTAGGAAACATTATAAAAACCTCAGCCCAGCTTTGTTCTGTTGGTAATGTTTCCACAAGAAGAGTCAGTGTGTTCAGAAGCTTTCTATTACACAGCAATGAACAAGCTGCATTTCCATACAGTTTTAAGTTTTTAAATTAAGGTCCTGCTGATTTAATGCCTTTTCCAAATGTATACGCTTAATTTCCTGTACAATGTCATTAGCAGCACAATCACACATTTTCTTTTCATCTAATCAGGAAGCCCTTTGTTAACAAAGATCAAAACTGTGGCATTAGGTTTGCGGTATCCTTTCTTTTTGGAGGTACTGGAATTACTATAGACCAAACACAGTCACAATATTCTATTTTTTTCAACTTACATTTTCTATCATAAGTATTAAAACAAAAAAATAAGGGCTTGTTTATACATAATATGCATATATTATTGTGCTGTGGCATACAGCACCATTGATGTTATATGGTAAATGAAAACTTAGGTAGCATTAGTTATCATACCACATATTGTAGTTTTGGCCCAGTGACACCAGTAGGAAAAATGATGTCCTTGTTCAGCTCATCATATGGGTACCTTAAATCTAGGTGAGGACAAATGGGGAGGTGATGTGCATGTACAGGCAGGGAACTTATTGCTTGACACGGATCAACAGAGCACTTAGGAAACCAGTGCAGTGGGAAATCAATATGACTCAGGGCCAGCTCTTACTTTGTGCTCTTTCGCCAATGCCAAAAAAAAAAAAAAAAAAAAAAAAAAAAAAAGGCAGCCTATCTCACACTTGGATTATTTTGGTTGATATATCTCTCATTTCATTTGTTTTATTATCTTTTATTTTTCTCAGAATGCGGTTGTGCAGTACAGCATATGCAAATAAAAATAATAAGAAATGTGCACAGCTTTGTTATTTAGGACACATGTTCTTAAAGATCAAGTGGCCTCATTTAAGCTTCTTCCTGAAGTTTTTGCCAGGGCGATGATGAATAAGTAAGGTTCGTTTTTAGTAAAGGTCAAATATCATTTTCATAGAATGCACTCTTAAAAGTCATGTAAGTGAAGCAATTCTTAAATTGGGCAGCTAAATACAGTGGAAGATCACTAACTGTTGTTGTTACATGCAAACTTAACAAAACTGGAATGTAATGCTATACTAGGCAATGCCTAAGAATTTATACTACCTATAGATTCCCACAGTGGGATGAAAGAATGACAGAGATTTTTTATTTTCTTAGTACCCATGTTTTTCCCACTCATTAATCTCAAACATTTTCCCATCTTAAAATCTCTCAAACCCACTGAACTTCCCTGGATTTTGTGGAAACTTGTACTAAAGAATGAATCTGACTTCCCACAAGGAGTCAGCTGTCTCCCTTTGATGCCTTTGGGATCACTCCTCTCAAGAAGAGGTTCCCCAAGACCAGTCCACAGGGTCTTTAGTTCCCACCTTTCCCAGTGTGCTACAGTATTTTCAAATCAGGTCCAAGACAGAGGTTGAGTCAGGCTCTTCCTTCAGTCAATTTGAAGAGATGCAGTATTTATCAAAGACTTGTGTATAGACAGCACAGCTGCATATTTTTTGTGTGTTGTATTTCCATTTTTTGAAAATACTTTATTTATCCTCCTTATTGACACAAACAGGGCCAGCAGAGGAAGAAATTATATTGTAAGCTTTTCTGCTGTTTCCATGCATATAAACTATGCAATAAGACTCCCACACTTATGGCGATAATTAAAACTCAAAAACTAAGGGCTTAATCCCAGCTCCCACTTTACGCAATGGCAACGTTCCCACTGCTGGGGGACTGGGCCCAAATGACCTGAACTAACATCTGCAGCTCACAGGAAAGCCCCAGGGAGGCTTATCCAGGGCAGGAAGGTGGTATTTGGGCAACGCTGTCAGCCCCTGAGGGGAGTTTTTGCACTGAAATGGGGAAATCATCAACGTCACAGCCTTTCTCCTTGATCATTTTCAGGGTCCCTCACAATCATGAATTACACACAGAAATCAAAACTAGGGCAATTAACAAGACCGCTATAAAAGGAAAGCACCTGAAAACTTCTGCCATAAGCTATAATTCCTTATGAACACACATCTGTACAGGAGCTAACTTTCATAGATAGAGTCAAAATTACATGCTAGTGATCTTGCTAATTCAGTTTCTGGTAGTGACAGTCTTCACAAACTCCCTGAGCTTGCCAGGATATAACAGGAAGAATTTGGCCCATCACACACACTGCCCAGACTGCTGCTTCCATTATTTCTACATGAGCCTTTGTCTGCTGTTTTGCTTTAACCGTGTGAAAATCACATCCTCTCCTTTTTTCCATTTCCAGCCAGTGGAACACCTGCCTGCCCCGCAAAAAGGGTATTTGAAGAGAAGTTTGTACGCCATGCTCAAACAGAGCCCAGTGTGAGTTTTTAGCGTGTCAGTCAGTGAGTTAGAGGGAAAGGGTAAGGAGAAGCTAATCAGGATGAAATGAGATTAAAGGCTGTCTAATTTTACAGCAACTGTGATCCATCAGCCACTGTGAAAGTGACAGTGGAAATGAATGATGGAGACAGACAGGTGGGGCTGTACATTTCACTGATTTATCCTCAAATGCACTGGGCCTTATTTTATTGAGTGAACATGACCGCATTTATCATGACTGTCATCTAAACCCACTTCCCTCCATTTAAAAAGGTCACTTTACTAGGAGGGAGTAGGATAGAGGCACTTTCAAAACAGATTTAAAATTTAATAACACATGTTTATAATCCTGTGTGAGAATTCTCAACTTTATTAAAGTAAGATTTTAAAAGAAGAAGATAAGGCTATTAAACAGATGAAAAGATGAAAAAAAAAAAAAAGCCATTGTCACCTGAGAAACATGCTCTGCTACCAAGGTGATTGGTGCCAGGGAACGACTTGAGACAGGCATATGTGGTTAGAAGTAGCAAGCAGAACCCACATCTCCTAAGCCCTCGCCCCTCACACACTTTCCAAAACTCTGGTAGTTTTGTGCATTCTCAGACCAACAGAAGAAACAAGTCCAAGCAGTCCTAGATAAGACAGTGGCCCAACCAGCCCTTTTCTCATGCAATTTAGACCCTCCCTAAGGTGTACGTATGTACAGGACGTATGGAAACAGGAACATTTTCCAGGTTGCAACTAAACCACTGATCTACACTTGAGAATGATCTGGAAGGCAAAAGAGACGAATATAATGCTCATGAATCAAAAGCCTCTCAATCATGACAGCTGTGGTCAGCCAGATGCCATCACACTTCAAAGGCACCTCCAACTTTTGAATGGTGAGAATTTGAATGATATCTCTCATGTAGCCCACAAAAGTAATGTGTGCTGTTTGCCTTATCTAGTTTTATTTCGTTTCTGTCAAAAATTATATGTAGGTTGCTCCAAAAGTAATGCCTCCTGTTTATTTCCACGGAAACTACAACATATACAAAGAGTACAGTAACTGTATTTGAGAGAGCAAATATCCAGCTATAAAAATACTATTTTTCAACACTGTCACCATCACAAGCTATACATTTTTGCCAGCGATGAACAAGAGTCTGCATGCCAACTCATACAAATCTGCACCAGTGGAGGTGACCCACTGTTTTATAGCTGCTATGACAGTGTTGTTGCTAGGAAATTGCTGCCCACGCCATTCATATTTCACCAGCCCAAACAGATGGAAGTCAGAAGATGCCAAGTCTGGACTACACACTGGCTGTGGTAGGACAGTCCAGCCAAGACTGGCAATGTGCTTCAAACTGGTATGGGGCCTAGCATTACTGCATTCAAGAGAAAGGTTGCCTTCTTCTCTGGACAGATTCTGGAAGTTTGAGCCGTCAGCTTAGTCAGCATCACAGTGTAGTCGTCAGAGCTGATGGTTGGAAATCCAGAAGGATCACTTCTTTCCTATCCCCAAAGACATTGCACATCTTTTTATCCGCTGAGGGCTGTGTCTTGAATGGCGAATTCAGATGTCACCACTTCATGGGCTGCTGTTTTGACTCAACCACACAGTGATGACATGACATCTCTTAATCAGTAACAATGTGATCCAGGAAACTGCCAATTTCAGCCTTGCATTGGTTCAAGAGATCCTCAAAAATTTGCATATGGTGTTCTTTCTGTTCCTTTGTGAGCAGTCATAGGACCTGGCACAAACTCTGCAATATTCTAACATCGACACAATTGTTTTCAATGCACTGAAGCTCTGTACGCAGTTCCGTGACTGCAATCTGCTGATTCACATGTATGAGCTGACTGAGACACTCTTCATTTTGTGACATGCATAGCTATCTGGAACGAAGCTTGTCTTTGACAATGCTGTCGCCACCGCTGAAATGCACCTCCCACCCTTCATTGTGCTCATGTTCACTTGTTAGCCTCCATAAACTTTCAACATGCATTATGATTGTCAAAGGGTGCCATTTTTTCCACATGGAAAAATCCAATGACACACCCTTCCTTCACAAGCACTTGCATGTCTGATGCTGTTCTGTCAGACTGCCCCTCTGCTGCCATCTGTAACGTGGCAACAACAGTTAACAGAATATTGGTGGGAAGGTTCAATCTCTCTTGCCATACCACCAACCTCTAGTATTACAGGTCAACACAATAAAAGAGGGGGCATTACTTTCAGAGCAGCCCTTCTACATTTA